ATTTCCGCCCCCACCCCTGAGTGGCGGGTGGGGGCCCTAAATTATAATAAGGGGGGACCTAATGTCCTCCCCCCTGGCCCCCACCCCTGAGCGGCGGTTGGGGGCCCTAAATACCAATAGGGGGGGCCCTACAAAAAAAGTTAAACCCGTTCCCCCCCAAAAACAAATTAACCCCCTACCTACCCCCCTCACCCTAAAAATAATGAGGGGAGTCCTTTAACTAAGTACCTGTAAAAAAAAAAATAAAACTTATTCAATGTTTTGTTTTCTTCTAATATCATCATTTTTCTGTCCCAAAAAAATTCCAAATAAAAATCCATAATAACAGATGCACTACTAAAAAAAAAAAATTTAAAAAAGCGCCAAATAAAAAAATCCATCTTCACCCAGCGAGGGCTCTGCGCAGACTGAGCTCTGCAGGGCGGGCGAAGGCTTATAAAGCCTTGCACCGCCCTGCAATTAGGCTCAGAGCACTCTGATTTGGTGGGTTTAAGCCATCCAATCAGAGTGCTCTGACAGGTTAGTCTCTAAATTTACCTGTCACAGGTCCCCCCCCCCCATTGGTATTTAGAGCCCCCACCTGCTGCTCAGGGGTGGGGGCCAGGGGGGAGGACAATAGGTATAGTGAGTAGGAGCATAATTTACTAATACTAAGTAATCTTTGCTTAGTATTAGTAAATTTGTCGGAAAGACCAATTTAGGTCTTTCAGCCTTTTGGTAGATAACTCCCTAATACTGTGGGAATTAGGGAGTTATCTACTAAGTGGCTGCAAGAGAATTGCTGAAGTCCCTAATTTCGGAATGCCGAACTGAAAATTTTCCACATGCACATGCCTAATGTTGCTGCCTAATTTGCTGTCTATAACCATTCCCAAATCCTTCTCGTGTGTGGTTATCCCTAATTCACTACTATTTAGGGTGTAAGTTGCTTGGGTATTCTTGACCCTGAAGTGTAAAACTTTGCATTTCTCTACATTAAATTTCATCTGCCATTTAAGTGCCCAGTCCCCCAATCTATCTAAATCCCTCTGCAGCAAAGCAATATCCTGCTCACATTTTATCACTTTACAAAGTTTTGTCATCTGCAAACACTGAAACATGGCTTTCAATGCCTATTTCAAGATCATTTATAAATATTGTGATAAAGTGAAGGCAGATAGGCCTATAACATTTAACCCCAGGGGGAGTATGTGTAGGATGTGTTGTAGGCAACACAAAATGTTGTTTAGTTATGGGCCCCTGGGGTGGAGCATTTGGAGAGAAGGGTGGGCCAATGCTCCACTCCACAGTTTAGTGGTTTTCTGGGGAGACATAGATCCAGGCCAGGGTTTTTTGGATCATCTCCAACCCACTGCTCAGCTGCAGTTAATGAGCTATTGCAGTGGGAATAAACCCCTCCCGGCTAGGCAGGAAAAGGAGAGGGATTGCTGGCTTCCTCCCAGGAAGCAGGTAGGAGACAGAGGCTGTTCTCTCCAGTTAGAGTCAAGGAGACTAAGCACTGGGAGTGCAGAAAGGAAGCAGTCAGGGCAAGGCTGGCTTGGAGCACTGGGAGTGCAGAAAGGAAAGCAACAGGCTAGCTAGCAGAGCGTTGCTCTCTAATAAGGTTGGTGCAATATTGTGTTTAGTTTAACCCTGAGAGATAGGGAACTAATGTCAGTTAGTGCTCAGATGAGCTAGGTTTTTGTTTATAGGGTTTTCTGTTACTTTTGTTTTCATTTACTGCTGTATCCTGTGTGGATTTAAAAATAAAGTGCCTGGAGTATATGCATTTACAAGGACTGTGCATGTTTTTGCCCTAGAGGACTGTGCTACCTGCAAACAAGGATCACAATATGTTAAATAGAAGCGGTCCCAAAATAGAACCGTGAGGGACACCACTTACCACTTTTGTCCAACTTTTTTTTTTTTTTTTTTAAATCAAGGTTTTATTGAAGGTTGAAGGTTTCGAAATGCAACAATACAACAATTGTAAATATTGGATCCGCGTTAGAACAGTGAGACACGCAGGTCTCTCCTGAAACATATAACTGCTTAAACATTACCAGTGCATAGGTTGGACTCGTAGGCCCACTTAGAAGTTACATAATCTGAATAGTCTCACTTGGGCTCCTCTTGTCTCTAATTTACCTGTGAGTGCGTGTGAATCTTATGTCGGTAGTGCTTTTTTCGTTGGATTATGCGGGGTAGGTAATGTCTGCCTATGTCATGAGTGTATTGCTGTTCGTTGAGATTTGCGGGTCTCCACTGGGGTTGCTTGATGTTATTGTGATGTTGTATTGTGGTGTTATTGTGTGGTTAGGACTCTCTGGTCTGTTGTGCTAAGATCAGACTCGGCAGCTTATTTTATTCAATTTGTACTTTTATTGAGTTTTTCATAACAGTTGGGGTACAGAAAGGAAGAGGGGTAGGTGGGTAAAGGGTAAAGGAGAAGCGATACTACAATACAGTTCAATTTACAGTTTCAGCATGTTTCAGAACTGGCAAATCCTGAGTCTGTATGCAAAGCATTCTAGTAATATATATACATACCGTACCCAACAATGTACAGTTACAGGTGCGTGTGCTTATCTATGGATGACTCCTGGTCAAGGTGTGCCTCTGCAGAATTGCCCGGTGTGTTTTCCACCGTCTAGGGTTGGGCCTTTTTGGCCCTACAATCTAGGGTGAGCACTGGTGGTCGTTCTTTGGTCATTATTGTTGCTGATTATACATAAGTTGCTGCTGAACATGCATATGCCTACGTGACTTGCCCCCTATTATCCTGAGGTTAGCTATACTGTTCCTCCCTTCTGCTTGGTTGTCCAGTGTCTGTGTGGGGTGTAAGTCTATAGTTATAATACTGACTATGTTAAGTTCAAAGCCATAATACCGCCTATGGTACTGCTAGTGGATCAAAAGTTATCCATTTATGCCAGTTATTGTTTGTGGCAGTCTTATGTTTGGGTGTGGCTGTGGACAATTGCTCATACCTAAGGTACTGTCGTATTTTACTATATAATAGCTGTGACGATGGGCATTCCTTCTGCTTCCAGTGGTATGCTAGGAGATTACGTGCTGCCATGATTACCATAATCATTAGTTGTCTATCTTGATAAGGGGTGGTCATGGGTATCAGAAGAAATAGACCTATCTCAGGTGTGATCTTACCCCGGAGAACCCCTAAGGAATTACAGATCGTTTGGACCTCCGTCCATAATGGTTGTATGTTCGGGCAGTGCCACCATATGTGGCTCATTGTGCCCCTGTCCTGTTCGCACCTCCAACATTGTGCTGATGATAGTGGGTATATTTTGTTAAGTTTGTCGGGTGTGAGGTACCATCTATAGATCAATTTTTTGTGTGCTTCTATATGTGAGTAGCAGGATGTGATACCTTTAAGCGCTAGGATTGATCGTAGCCACTGATCCTTAGGAAAGCTCGGCAGCTTATTTTGTGTGTCGATTTTTCAATAAAGTGAGGGTGGCCACCCACATTCGGGTATTTCCCCCGCAGGTAATGTTATCGTGTCCCTAATGTGGTGTGTGAGTGTTGGCGGTCTCGGTTAGAGTGGCTTGTTCCTTGCGGCTCTCATCTGAAGTGAGTGTGCATCGTGTTGAGTTGTGATTGTGTACCATTTGGTGGTGTGTCTCACAAGTCTGCCTAGATCTTCTGTACCCCTGGTGATGCAGCCTCCTAGAGCCTCAATGGGTATTTTGTGGTTTCCTAGTTATGTTGTGTTTTTTGTGAGGTTCCCACCTGTTGTGTGTCCCTTCCCAAGTCTAATAGTTGCTAGTAGGTTGTGTTAGTCCCATCGGTGCACGACGTGTGGGGTTCCGCGCTAGCGTGTCGGCAGTCAGGGTGTTCCATAGTGGCTCAGTCATCTTAAACCTTCATCTAAGGGTTCTGGGGCGTCGGTTTGTTGGGTTTATAGGCTGTCTTCGCCGCAGGATGGGTGTTTGTGTGCGTCTATGCTCGTGGGTTCCACCGTGTGACAACCTGAAAATTTACCATGAATGACAACTCGTTGTACTCTATCCTTATGTTCTAAGCCAATGTTCTACCCAAGAACAAGAATATTTATCTAGACCAATTTCTTTTAGGTTGAAGACTAACCTATTGTGAGGAACCGTATCAAATGCCTTGGCAAAATCCAAGTAGATCACATCCACTGCAACACCCTGATCTATACTTCTTCGTAGAATTCAATTAAGTTAGTTTGACATGACCTATGTTTCATAAAACCATGTTGATTATTGCTAATAACAAAGTTCTTCCCAATGAATTCCTGAATATTATCCCTTAACCCCTTCAGGACCAGACTGTTTTTGCGATGTTTGTACGTTAAGGACCAGAGCTATTTTAACACTTTTGTGGTGTTTGTGTTTAGCTGTAATTTTCCGCTCTCTCATTTACTGTTCCGATACAAATTATATATTGGTTTTTTTTCAGGACAAAAAGGGCGTTCTTTACATACTATTATTTTTATCGTGTCATTTAATTAAAAAAAAAAAAAACAAGTTTTTTTACTTTTACTTAACCCCTTAAGACCGGAGGGCGTACTATTACGCCCTATTTTAGGCGACTCTAAACGCCGCCGGGCGTAATAGTACGCCCTCATGTCTTTCTATACTTACCCGGTGGGATCGCCGGCGATCGCGGTTGGGGGGACTCCCAGGGAGCCCCCCGTGGCACGTCCGACCCCCTGGCAGCCCCCCTGGCCATGTGAGAGTGAGGTCTTTGCGAGGACCTCACAATCACATGGCCGGTATAGCTGCCTGCTGTATTGCCAGCAGGGGGGCTGCCTGTAATGACAGGTCGTCCCCCTGCTGGCTGGAAATAAAATTAAATAAAAGTTAAATAAGTGAAAAAAAAAAAAATATATATATATATATATATATATAGTGATAAAGTGAAGGCAGATAGGCCTTTTAACCCCAGGGGAAGTACGTGTAGTTTGTGTGTTGCACAACACAAAGCTTTGTTTAGTTATGTGCCCCTGGGGTGGAGCATTTGGAGAGAAGGGTGGGCCAATGCTCCACTCCACAGTTTAGTGGTTTTCTGGGGAGACATAGATCCAGGCCAGGGTTTTTTGGACCGTCTCCAACCCACTGCTCAGCTGCAGTTAATAAGCTGTTGCAGTGGGAATAAATCCCTCCCTGCTAGGCAGGTAAAGGAGAGGGATTGCTGGCTTCCTCCCAGGAAGCAGGTAGGAGAGAGGCTGTTCTCTCCAGATAGAGAGTCAAGGAGACTAGGCACTGGGAGTGCAGAAAGGAAGCAGTCAAGGCTGGCTTGGAGCACTGGGAGTGCAGAAAGGAAAGGAAAGCAGTCAGGGCAAGGCTGGCTTGGAGCACTGGGAGTGGAGAAAGAAAAGCAACAGGCTAGCTAGCAGAGTATTGCTATCTAATAAGGTTGGTGCAGTATGTTTTGTTAGTTTAACCCTGATAGACAGGGTTATTCAAAGTGAGTCAGTGCTCAGACGAGCTAGGTTTTTGTTTAAAGAGAAACCTGTTATATTTATGTTTTCATTTGCTGCTGCCTCATATGTAAACTTACAAATAAAGTGCCTGGAATGAAGTTGCATTAAAATCTCTCTCTCTCTCTCTCTCTCTCTCTCTCTCTCTCTCTCTCTCTCTCTCTCTCTCTCTCTCTCTCTCTCAATATAGATGTGTTATTTCGTTCTAACTGTATTGTGATATTAATATATTTATATTAAAATACACGTAGAACAAAATAATATATCTATATACGTATATATCACTATACATATACATATATATATATATTTAAAAAATTATATACATATATATTCACATACGTTTATATACATATATTAATTCTACATATATATGTAATATTTTAACATAATTAGGTATCTTAATTACAATTAGCGGGACCTGCCTGACAACCCATGCCGAAAGTAAAGGGAATTTAATTTGCTAGCACTATATTTAACCCTATAACTTTCCGAGACACCATAAAACCTGTACATGTGGGGTACTGTTCTACTCGGGAGACTTCGCTGAACACAAATATTAGTGTTTCAAAACAGTAAAATGTATTACAACGATGATATCGCCAGTAAAAGTGACTTTTTTGCATTTTTCACGCACAAACAGCACTTACACGGACGATATTATTGCTGTGATACTTTTTGCTGTTTTGAAACACAAAAAATTTTGTTCAGCGAAGTCTCCCGAGTACAACATTACCCCTCATGTACAGGTTTTATGGTGTTTTCAAAAGTTACAGCGGCAAATATAAGGCTTGCGTTTCATTTTTTTCACATTAAAATTCGCCAGATTGGTTACGTTGCCTTTGAGACCCTATGGTAGCCCAAGAATGAAAATTACCCCCATGATGGCATACCATTTGCAATAGTAGACAACCCAAGGTATTGCAAACGGGGTATGTCCAGTCTTTTTTAGTAGCCACTTAGTCACAAAAACTGGCCAAAACAACGCTAACTTTGGCCAGTGTTTGTGACCAAATGGCTACTAAAAAAGACTGGACATACCCCATTTGCAATACCTTGGGTTGTCTACTATTGCAAATGATATGCCATTATGGGTGTAAATTTCTTTCCTGGGCTACTATAAAGTTCCAAAGGCAACGTAACCAATCTGGCGAATTTCAATTTAAAATGTAACGTGCTATATTTGACCCTGTAACTTCCCAAAATGCCATAAAACCTGTACATAGGGCGTACTGTTTTACACGTGAGACTATGCTGAATACAAATATGTGTATTTTATTGCAGTAAAAGCAAACAGTATTATGACATTGACCGTTAAAATGTCATGTAGAACTAAAAAAATCAAAAAAATCTTATTTTCTCCCTTTTTTTTCATATTAAATTGTTTCATAGCTAAATGTTTGATATTAAATGAAAGCACTGTTTCCCCTGAATAAAATGATATATATAATAAGGGTGGGTGTATTTAATATGAAAGAGGTGTATTACGGTTGGACAGACTTGTAGCGCAAATGCCAGGTTTTGTGTACATTTGGCTCCGTCCTTAAGGGGTTAAAAAATCTTTTACTGATCTACAAAATCGAATGAAACAAACTGCTAAATAGATTCAAAATTTTGTCTTGAGTTTAAAAACACCCAATGTTTGTGTTTTTTGCTTTTATTTGCAAGTTATAGGGCTATAAGTACAAGTAGGAAATTGCTGTTTCAAAATGTACATTTTTCAAATGTATCACTAGTGATATTGTAACACTGTTATGTCATAAATCTCCAAAAAACACCCCACATGTATATAGTTTTCCTAAACTAGATAACCCAGGGTATTCATCTAAGAATATTTTGATACTTTCTATGCAGCCATTTTACCACAAACCTTTGCCAAATTTTGCATAGGTAGTTTATTTATTTATTTTTCACATACATTGCAATTCAGGTATAAATTCAGATTCTGTTAGGTGTCACTACCAAACACCCCAATATGTGTTCAGCAACATCTCCCGAGTACAGGGATACCCCCCATGTACGGTTATCAGTTTCCTAACTTGGAATTTTTTATTTATATATATATATATATATTTTTTTTTATATAATTTGTATTTTGAGTATTTTGCATCAAAGAATACAACTGATACAGAGTATGTCATGGAGGCAAGCATTATTCTTTTGCCTCTACTATAGGTCATATATTTTAGAGTTCTGCTCCTCTTACATACACGTCACACAGGTTGCCTTCAATTGGGTCTTTTTATAGTCTGGTGTGTGTTCTCGTCTCCTGTGAGTTATGTGTTGTCTATTTTGTGTAGTCTCGTGCGGTTCATTCTTTGTGGGTGCCATTGTGTCTGTGTTGTCGGTGATGGGCGTCCGGGCTATGTGGTTCTGCGTCTTGTAATATGTCTGAGGGACTGAGTGTCATGGATTGCCTTCCAGTTCGTCCTAGCGTGGGGCTGTCTCTCTCTCGCTGGCTATGTGAGTCTCATGTAGCCTGGCATGGGGTTAGGCAAGTAGTGGATCAGTCCTTGTTATAGGGCTGCTTTTCCTGCAGGCTCTCCGTCGACCTTTTTTGGCACGCTCAGAGTCAGGCCCCAGTATTTTTTGGTTCTTTGCCCGGTAAGTTCATGGTCTTCCAGAATGCCGTGGGGTCTTCCCCAGCCGATAGGGTAAGTGTCTCGTTTCCCCTTTGGATGTTCAGCATTCAATCTTCTCCCTATTGGTACCGGACCTCTGCCTCTCTGTTTCTTGGCTACTGGTGCCAGTTGTCTCCTCGCAACTAGCGCCTCGAAGGGAAGGTCCCCATAGATCATCACGCAGCAGCCCACGAGCCGGAACGTCTTGATCTCTCTGGATTTGTTGAGGATAGCGGTTCTCACCGCAATATCTCTGGTGATGACTATTGTGTCTCTCAGTGCCCCTTGAGGTGCCGCTGCCGCTTTCCATACTCTGAACGCTGAGACCACCATCCCCTTGGTATCTTTACTCTTTAGACCCATCAAGGCCACCAGTCTCTGGGTGAAGGGAAACAGGGCTTCTTCACTCAGTTTCCGGGATTCCCCGCATGCGGACATTCTTGCGCCTGTGGCGGGATTCCAGTGCGGTCAACGAGCGGGTGAGTTTCTGCACCTTTGTGGCCAGGTCCTCTATTTGGTCGTGGGTGTCCTGCATCTGGTGTTCCCGAGACTGCTCTTTATTTTCTATTTCGGAGATCCTCTTGCGGAGGTCTCCTATGTCTGCTTGGGCCTCTTTCAAGTCTGATTTCCAGACTTGCCTTATACCTTGCAGGCAGTTTTTAATATCTCCTTTAGTCACTGGGGAGGAGTCCTCGTCGGAGTCAGTTTCTGGGTAGTCTCCCTCCTCCTGGGATGCTTCTGAGGCCTCCTCTTCAGCCCGAGCCGCGGGCGCCATTTTGGCAGAAGCCGCGATCGCGGCTGCAGGTCTCTCAAAGGAGAGCCTTATGTCCAGCATTCTCGGGTTGGCTGGTTTTTCCTATTTTTGCGCCACATGGTAGTCTCTGTTGGAGGGTGAGTAGGGATGTCGCCTGTGGGGCTCCTATATTTCAATATACAGCTATATTTAGCTCTCTGTCTCAGAGCTCCAGAGGTTTGCGTCCACTCTGGTACTCCTCTAGCCACGCCCCCCCACCCCCACTTGAAATTTTGACATGTAATCAACCTGCGCCCATGTCCCATTTGAGCCAATGTATTTTACCCCCATCAAACCATATATTTTTGAAAAGTAGAAAACCCAGGGTATTTTAAATGGTGGTATTTTAACTTTGCATGCACTGAATTCTACCACCAGCCTTTGTCAAACTTTTGGGTAGTAATCTATTTTTTTGTTTTTTTTGTTTTGTTTTTTGTTTCTTTGTCACACACTTTGTACTTTAGGCATGAATTAACAGATCCTGTTATGTGTCACTGACCAATATGTTCAGCAACATCTCCTGAGTACAGTGATACCCACCATGTATAGGGTTGCTGGGTTGTTTGGGGCCAAAAGGCAACAATCAGAACTTGTACATGTCAGTTTTTCAACTTGATATATAGGTATGCTTGGTCTATCTTCAGTTTGACATATTTTTGCACCCCCCCAGTTAATGTTACCATCATGACAGTGTGTATATATAGTATATTTTTAAAAAGTAGACATCAAAGTAGAAATGTACCTTTCTAATATTTGTTTGAATAGTATGAATAGTTTCCATTTATTCAGGGTTCCCAGGGTTAGCATTGGGCTAGCTGTGTGTGTTCTTAGAATGTGTGTGATCATTTGATGCTGTCAATGTGTGATGGGGACTGCTTGTGTTTGTTGTAGTTTTAGGCTGGCTGTGCATGGTGGGACAAACGGTTTATCTTCGTGTCATAGTAATAACCCCTGATGTGCAGATAGTCTAATCTACAGGGCTGCCATGAGAAATTTTGGAGCCTGTGACATAGCTCAAGGTCTGGGCCCATGGGTGCCACCCCTGAGTCAGCCCGCAGAGCTCCTCCTGAATCGGCCAACAGTATATAGTGGATGTAGAATGTGTGCAATGGATACAGAGGGAGTGTGTAATGGATGCTGCGTGTAAAGTGGACACAGATTTTATATTTGTGTAATGTATGTAGTGTTTGTGTGTATTAGATACAGTGTGTGCAGCTGATGCAGAGCGTATTTGTGCAGCGAATGAAGTGTGTATAGAGTGTGTTTGTGTAGTGTATAGTAAATACAGAGTGTTTGTGTAGTGGATGTAGTGTTTGTGTGTATTCTTTGCAGTGTATAGTGGATGCAGGGTCTATGTATAGTGAATGCAGAGTGGGCGTGTTAGCGTAGTGAATGCAGAGTGTGTATTAGTGTATGCAGTTAGTGTAAATG